CCTGTTATGACACAAAGGTCGTAAAGATGAATATGGCACTAATCTCTTTACAAATCTAACAATGTGAATATTATGAAGCTTAGAATTAACGTCAATCCCAAATAAATGCAGTTCAAAGGTGACAATTTTGTACTGATAGAAAAAACAGGTAATGTTGTTGGTATTGTTGGAGGAGGTGAATCGACAGTTTCAGCTGGTACACTTTGAGAACTTTGAGAACTTGGAGATGGCCTTAAGGCAGTTGATTTTGGAGCAGCTTGCGGTGGTGATTTAGGTACTCCGGACCGTTGTGGTGCTTGCGGATTTGGGAAAGGGTCTCGTTTAATTGGTTTAAATTTTCTTTCGATATCGTTATTTTGACAGTGTACAGATAATATTATGTAAAAAAAAAGAAATAGTAAAAAAACTGTAAAATTTTTCATCTTTGCTTATTCTTTAGAAATCAAAGCTATTAATTTATTGTTGTCTAAATTGAATTGAATAGATCATTACTGAGGTTTCAAAGTTCACGAATATATAGTATTCGGGCGCTCTTGGCGCATGTATCAATAATCTATTAATAGAAGCATATTACCTTTATTGAACTGATCATTTGAATAAAATTAATAATAGTTTCTGACACAGGTTCATAAAATTGGGCTAAATTGGTTTTTTTTTTAAATAATTCCGGATTAAACCAGAAAAATGTGAGGTTTCAAAATTAGCTGCAAGAACATGATGTTGAACAGATGACGTTTTTGTTTGATACTTGATTTATGCCACTGCTTTTATTACCAATTATATATTGAACTTAAAAATTATTACAATTAAAACAAGATAAAAAGGGAAATGGGAAATCTCTTATTCACATAAAAGGACAAGTTTATACCGACACCAGCCAAAATTATGTATACCAGGTTGACATGCCATTGTGGCTTGATTTACGATTCGAAGCTTAGCGTTATAAAATCTTATTTATAACTTTCAAAGTCAAAAAATCATATAGTTCTATTTTATTTACAGTATAAAGTTTAGAAACTTTTCTGTTTTAATGATACTATTATTGTCATAAAATAGAATTTATTTCGCAATAAATTATTTAGTTTATTCAAGATAAATTATTTAGTTTATTCAAAATCAGAAGCCCAGTTATATACTTACGTATTTTGTTCTGAAACCTCATTATGTTTTACATTTATACAAAAACTTTATCTTGCAGAATAGGTGATAATTAATTGATTAGTTAATAAAATGTTTATTAAAGTGGTAAAGTAGTCATCTATACTGCAAGATCCAAATTATCTAGAACTTTAAGTTTCAAATATTTCCGTTTTATATAACTATAAATTTAAGCATAATAATCGAATAAATCATTGTCATACGAAGGTCTGAATTTGTATGAGTGGGTAAGTTGACTAGTTTTCTTTTCAACTCAAAGAACGAATCAAATCGCTGCACTTATAAATTCAGTTTCATGTAACAAATAAAAACAATGATGCATTTTCAATTCAGACATTATCTAAGAATATCTTAGAAAAATATTATTAGGAAAAAACTATTAACATAGCATATCAATCTTGTATACATTTTTTTGGTGCATTCCTATGATGGTATTTTCACATAGCATAGATAATAGCATATCTCGTATACCAAATCATAGGTTAACTGGTCAATCGAAAATCTAATTAGTCGCACTATAACCAGGAATATGTATCAATAAAATTTTCTCAACTTATCTCATTGAGTATGATATTATATGCTGATTATTAATCATGCTCATACTTTGTATTGATTTATTGTCTTCCTTTCTGAGAATCTATCCACGAATCTACCCACACTTATTAGTCTGGAAACATTTTATTGAACGTATATGTCAACTTAACAACTAAAAAAGATGAGATTACGTAAAATTCTAAAGTTTGATTTGTTTATATAAATAGATTAATCTTTTTATTTATTTTTTTAAAAAAAATGACAAAGTGTGACACAAGCGTTAAAAAGGTGAGAAATATGTAACAGTAACCGATCTATAAAATATGTTATTTTCCATAACATTTTGGTGTGTGTCATAGCATATGACACGTGTATTAATATCTGTAGCACAGTTACAGAAATCGTTGTGTGCGGCTTAAGTGCTTAGAGTGATACGGAAAGAATAACCATAAAGTCCCGAGAAAAAGCAAAATTATAATTATAATTCTCACAAATACAGAAATAAGTTTCAATGATTTTTAGAACAAATGCATTATTTTTTCAATTTTCAATTATGTATTAAGCCTGCAATCAATTCAAGAGAATCAATTTAATAAATGAAAACTTCGATATTATTTTATTACTTTACTACTACTATCAGCTATTATGTGAATCTTTTTAAATAATTACATGAAATATTAGAAAAAATTAAAATTCAAATGTTATGACATAGTGTTTTGT